TAGTCCAAATTTTATTATTGTTATCAAATTTTATTATTATTATCGACTGAAATGTAACTTTCGTTACATAAGAGCTAAGGTTGCTTTAATACTATTGCAATCTAAAGCATTTTTAAAAATAAAAACTTTTTTAAACAAAAGAAAAGTTCGCGCGGAGAGAGAAAGAATATCAGTTTAACTTTGGATGTAAATGCTAAGGCGATATGAAGGTCAATCTAATTTTTTTAAAGGATCTTAATTTGTTTATGTAAGCCGATTTACAATATGTGAAAAAAAATTACAAGATAATTAAAAATTGAATAGTTTATGAGATGTTTCATATGTAATAGATATTTTATGTAAAATTATATCAAAAGAATCTAAAATATCTTGTAATCTACATATACATATATATATTTAATTTTTAGTTATCTATAAGTTATGCATAATCAAACTTTTGATTGCAATGTGACACTTCCCGTTGATATCTTTTTTAATTAATATTTAATAATTATTGCCAAAATTACAAAATAGTAAAGGACTTTTCTATTCATTTTATTGCCCTCTGTTCCCTAAATGTTGGTTTAATCTTTATCAAACTCTGTATGTATCTTTCTATCTTGTTTATTTGTAAAAGTAAATTTTAATTATGTAAATAAATTTAAATTTTGTTAATTTAATTCCGAGAGAAATAGAAAAAGATATAACAAATTATATTAAAACAATAAGATTCTTATTATGCAGAAAATAATTAGCAGTAAATTATAACTATATTTTTAGTATTCTTGTTCCGATTTATCGTCTATGAATCATGTATGGGCAATGTGCTTGTCTAATAGCAACTATCAACAAATTTTCCATATACCATTATAAAATTTATTGTAAACCGATATCTTTTTGTCAAAACAATGTGCGCTGCGAATGCAAGCGTGATGGCGACCATACTTCCTAGTTCGATATTAACATCTTCGTCGACACTGTAATTTTCGTTGGGTTGATATATTGCTACGTCTCGTTGTGTAGCGGTGGCCGTATTACGGCTAATATTTCTCCTCCTTACAGAACGAAAATTGAGTACTTTATAAGGAGGCGGGACATTAATAACTCGTACCGGCCGGTATTTTCAGGACAGCTTAAAAGCTTTTGCCGCATCGATGATATATTGTATGCTCAGAAAAGTAGTGACACGGGCTCTGCAACACGTAAAAACTTGCAAGTTTGCGACGAAGAACCGGACAAAATTCATCGTGATTCGTATTTCGCTTATTGATGATACATTAACCAGACTCGTTTATTCGTTAGTTACTGTATGTACATAATTTGTAGAGCCTATGAATGTCTAAAGAACTCATGGAAATGTTGGATATGATCTGATAAAAAAGATTTATCAATTCTAAAATACAAAATAATACATAATTTAATATACTTATAATATAATAATAAAATTCAGTTATATACTATTGTAATTTTAATATACACTTATATTCCGTAAAAATCAGCATAGGACTCAAAAACAAGAATACTAAACGTTCATCAAAAATTAGGAACACCTTTAGATGGCTCTGACACGTTAAATTGTAGCACGATTATTTAATGCCCATCATTAATCAACGTGATTACATTTTTATGGCTAAATTCTATATGTATATAATAAGTCTATATGTATGTAATAAGAAAGATTAAAACAGTTTTAAATCGAGAATTATTCAATATAAAAAATGTGTATAATTAGTTTTAAAACTGATTATACTAGATAAAAACATATATTTTTATATTATATTACTCATCATATTGATAATAATTGTTTATTTAAAAAAATATTTTTAAAAAAATATAATAATAACTGATCATTGATATTCAAATCTGTGTTTTATATAATATTATGATATATTTATACACATAATAATATTCAGAATTTAATTTTACATATAATTTTATTTTAAAATTTTGTATTTTATATATGTATATGTATATTTTTTTAATTTTTAAATATGTCTTCTATGTGTGTGTATGTATATATATATATGTATATATATATATATATATATATATATATATATATATACACAGGGTGTCCGTAAATATTCATGGACGGACAACCTGTATGAAGAAGCAGATTTCGGATATTCACTGTAAGTCAGCCGCCCCTCGGGCGATCGGGACGAGATTTAAACAGTAGTGCCGCGAAATGGTGTAGAATTTTATGCAAAAAGAACGAAATCGCTATCGCGTCCGGAAGTCGAGATATAAATTGGCCGTTTTTCGTCTGCGCGCGGATGATCGAAATCGTGCACGACGCCGCGCATGTTGCCTGCCTCTCTCGCGCGATATTCACTGTAACGCGGCGAGTAAAATGGCAAGCCGAATGCAATCCGTCGAATAGTGAATTAAATATTTATATATACCAAACGAAAAGATGAATCGGAATGCATTCGTTCGATTAATTCGTTAAATATTTATATATATAAATTTTATATAATTAATTATTGTGACAATCCCAAAACAATACAGGTCATTCCTTCTTAATTTGAGCCAATCTACGTTTTTATTTCGTTAAGATCGAAAATTGGCGGACACCCTGTATATATATTTTACACAATATGTAAAATTATAAATCTATTTCAAATATTTTATAATAAATTATGATTTGCCTAAAACGATCTCTCTAATTTATTATTTCAAAAGAAATAATATATTTTATTATTAGATTAGTATACAAGATTAGTATAAGAGCTTTTAAATGAAAATATGGATTTGAATCACTTTGCATCCCTTATTTGCACTCTATTTTCTAATATTTCGTTATTTTCTTCTATGCACGAATTCAACCTTAAGTCTTGATTGATATAATTGATCAATCTTATTTTAATAATAATCTCTTCATGATTAATGAAAGTTCTGTATTCATGCATAGTTGTTGGCATGAGAACAATTTTAGCACGTTATACATTATCGAGAATTTGACAATTTTATTCGTGTCAGACTCCAATCGGAAGAAATGGCGCAATTAAACCGGTGCGGTTTATTATGCTAATGATATGTTCGATAATACTTTCAATAGTCCATTTTGTCGGTGATTCTGCATTCATATAATACGCGAGTAATTAAAGTGTGTTAAAAAGCGCTTCTGTTGGCGGCACAAGCAATGTGTCCGAGCGTATAAACTTTCACAGTGACATATCAAACGCAATTACCGATCAGGCCGTATTGCAAGAGCTATACCGCCCTGCTCAGATTACTCGGACTACAAACCCCTTAATTACGATTGCTTGTGCCTGGTACATAAATCAATGTATGATATTCGATACAGCAAATTTCTCGCACGAGTTGCAGTATTCAGTTTTCTTGTCGTTAAAGCACCAATCACAGTAGAGTCGTTCTTTAAATCTTCCTGTCTCTCTTTCTTTCCACGTTTATGTATATACGTGCGTATGTCTTTACATATATTTATAAAAAGAGAGAAAGCTTGAATGTAATCAAACTTATAATTGAATTTAAATAATTGAATAATTAATTATAATAAATATTTAAATATTATTATAATAATTATTTATACATATATACATGCATACAAATATCATATTGAAAATTTAAGAGACAGAGATGACTCTACTACACATATGATTTAAATAAATGTACATGTTAAATATGCAACTATTTCTACCCAATTTTATACTATTTGAAAGCCATTAACATTATTTAAATTATATTACATTAATGTAAAATCATAATATTTTATATTACTATGTCGCATTTCGAAAGTTGGTCCATTATTAAAGATCAAATCTTTAAAGAAATTTATACGTGATTGGATCCCATTTGTTCTTTTAAAATTAAATTACTCTAGTTCAAATTTGTTCTTTTAAAATTAAATTACTCCAGTTCAAATAAGTAATGGATTTTGTAAATTTTTCAACGAGGAGCAATTTTATTAATTAATTTGTAATTAGGATATTTAATTTTAAAATCTATTAATATTAATTTTCTTGATTTAAGTTTATTTATTTCTTCTGGGTTATTTTCGATTTGTGAAATGACGTTTTAGAAAAAGAAAAAGTGAATCTTGATCCGGTTAATAAAGCTTGTTTAATTTGAAAATTAACCCTTTTATGTATATTATATAAATTTATTTCATTACTAGCATATATTGATGTTTATAATATATGCTTGAATGAAAAAAGAAATGGCGCTAATGAAGCATATTAATTACATATATATGCGAGACGTATTTCTGGTCTATAAATTGTAGATGTAGCACAGACATGAACCAACCGACTATTTTATTATGGCATCGAAAAGTGGATGTAGCCATGTAGTTCCAGGCGGCGTAAAAGGTAGCAGCGTGACTCTTAGGCTAAAGTCACTAGATTAACAAAGTACCGCAATTTTGATCTCAATAAGATAAGATGGAGCAAAAATGGCGTCCGATAGTGCAGATAGTGCACACTTTGTGTAGCTATCTATACTAAGTGCAATTTTTCTAACCTTGATCCTGGTTTGTCCTATGTCCTGTTATGTGTGAGGTGAGAAAACTCCTTCTGTTGCGCAGAAAAAGAAGAAAATATCAAAAATGCCAGGTTGTTGCATGGAGAAATGCAATAATCGCAGCCTATATCTATACTATCGGACACCATTTTTGCTCCAGCTTATCTTATTGAGATCAAAATTGCGGTACTTTGTTAATCTAATGACTTTAAGATCGCCTAAAAGCAGATTATGATAAAAAAAGAGTGAAAACTATGAACAACTTTGTTGTTTGTTTTATAGATTTTAAAAATGGCTTGTCGTATACTACATATTTAGAGTTGTAAATAATTTGATAAAAAATGTTCAATCTGTAAACAATGGTAACGCAAATGAAATATATCATTGTCTCTAAATCATTATATATAATTAACATATGTGTATTTAAAATTACTTTATCAATTTAACTCTAATAAAATTATGAAATTTTTTTCAGGTATATTATTGTTTAATATTGTTTAATTTATTGCTTGTCAGTCATTCACATTTATTAAAAATAGTCACTTTATTAAATAATGTGAGAAACTCTATATTTTTTGCGAATAGTAAGTAGAACTTTTATGGATATAGCATTTTGATAATAGTTTATATTTACAGTAGAAAATAATTTGTATTTCACTGTGCTTTTGTTCTATAGGACCTGAAGATGAATTATGAAAAGGTGTGACAAGTATCAGTAATGCAGGAAGACGCAGAGGTAGAGCAAGAAGAGTAGTGAAAAGAGAGAACTCCTAAATAAGGAGCAAATTATTGGCATGGGAAAAATTCCGATACAATTTCCTGGTCTAAACACTCCTGTGTTTAGAGGAAAAGAATTAATTCAACAGCAAAAACTGCTTGTAAATCTTGAAAGAAAGCAAAAACTTATGGAATTATCACAAAGTCAGACCAGATCAATGCAAATAAAATTATTGCCATTGGATATGGTTGGACGAGTGTTACAATGGATGGCAGAAGCATTGAATCAGATCTTAGTGGAAAAGATTAATATTTATGCTATTACTGAATTATAATGGTTAAATCACACACATACAAAAATCATGTGATACGATGTCTATTTTCAATTTTTTTTTTATGTTTCAGTTCTAAATATTAGAATCTTATATAATTAATATCTTTGTTTTCTGCAGATACATTTGAAAGTTTTGAAACCTGGATTTTGGAAAACAAAATGATAACTTGTATGACCGGTAATTTAGCACGTAAGACTAGAATCAGTTCATTTATAGTAACTGGAAATGGAAATGGATTAGCTGGATTTGCGTTATCAAAAGCCAAAGCATCCCTAAAGACGGTTAAAAATAGGGCTGGTCAAAGACTAATGTATATTCCTACATATAAGGAATACACTGGTAAGAAAATAATTGTCAATACTATATAATATAAAATTTATTTCTTCTCTTTTAATATCACTTTGTATTTTTCAGTATTACATGATTTCTTTACACAGTTTGAGAATATAAAAATATTTGTAAAGAAAATTCATGAAGGATAATGGGCTTGTTTGTCATCATGCGATAAAAGCGTGTTGCGAGATAATTGGCATAAAGGATATGTATGCCAAAGTATAAGGAGGAATGTAAAACCATTCTTTACTGGTTTTGCAACAGATATGTATATAAAGTATTTAAAGGCATATTATACTTTTTATTTAATTTATATTAGAAAGAAACATTTTTATTTATAAAAATATATTAAAAATGATAGATCTATATTTAGTAGTTGGAAAGAAAGAGAGGAGAAATTAAAAGTGCATCTAGTTAATTTAAAAGAATAAAAATCTAAAAATAATACATAAAAATTAATATTATGTATTTTTTTCATGAGGAATGTGGGGCGCACATTTATGCATTTATTTATTTAGATGAGATTTACTTTAGAGCACATTCAGTATTCAACTTTAATTTTATTTTCTCTTTCTTATGATATATAAGTATAACATAATTACCTGCAAATGCTATCATTTTTGTGTGCTTACAGTGATACAGAAGCAACATTACAAGTACTATATTTACAGATAACATCTGTATAATAAAAAAACCAAAAATCTAATGATGAAAAAAGGATAAATATTGTAGACCAGCATAAGTATCAACCAATTATTCCACCGCTCTGTTTCATTAGAGTTGCAATTTTCTTTTATATCATAAATATTATAAATAAGATAAAGATTTTTGTACGTTTCAAATAAATTTATAAATTTTATGTATGTAATACTGCGCACATATTAAAAGGTGATAATATATCGCAGTTATAATAAGATACAATCGTGGCAATGTAGTGATTTTTGGATCCTACTTAAAATAATTTAATTTGATTTATTTTTGAGAAATGCGCACAATACTTGAGAACAAATTATTTTTGTGCCATGTATTACCTGTGTAAAATTGCACACACAGTATCATATTGTCTGCGATATATGAAAAGCTTCATCGATGAAATATGATTCAGATATAAGAAAAGTAATATAGTACTTGTAATGAATAACGTTAATGTGTAATACATAAATATTTTATATTTTAATTTCATATAATCAAGATGAGATAAGACACTCATGATTACTTTAAAAATGTGTCCACAAATATCATGTAACTTCAATAGCTGCACATTCGTCAAATTAATTCTATTGCGTTAAATGAATCACAGCAGCTTGTTTTAATTTAATCTAACCTAACCAATTATATTATATGCTCCTCATTAAAATGTGTAAAACTGTACGTCGCACATTTAATGCGATTAATATATTACGTACTAAAATGTAATACATTAAGGAAATAATTAAATATTATTTTTTAAAGCATGATACAATCCAGGCAGCATACGCTTGTATTTACATTCGATATCCAAAGCCACTGAGAGATTAGGTTAGGTTAGGTTAGGTTAGATCAAACAAATTTATCGTTTAACAGTTGGCAGCCCTACGAGATAGCCTGTACAGTACTGCGCGCGCGTACAAAATAAATTTGAAATCGCTTCTAGCATAACCATCTTCACGCGATCGACTTTATTTGAATTGTACCGAATCGAATTATGATGCCGATTTGTCCGAATGCAATTCGGGACATCGCGATGCTGTATAAGCGTCGAATGAGCACAAATTATCATGCAAATATGATAAATCAAATCTACTCACCGGCTGTTCCACAGGCCGCTCCTCCTCGGGACAGTTCGCTCGCCTCGGGACGTCCCATTCCGATCTTGATGCACACAAATCCACACGATATCATCAACGCGAACGCGCGACACTTTATTCGGCACTCCCGATACTCGCTCGCATCCGATAATCATCATCAAAGGCCCGAATAACGCGACGCAATTTCGCTCCATCTTCGCAATGACGCCATCACTGAATATCGTCAAAAATCGCTGTCGCGCGTTTCCATCGACACACTATAAAAGTCGCGCGATCATCCTTGGACACTCTCGACGCTCGTTCACTCGCGATATTCGTTTAAAAACGGTTAAAAGATGCGAAAAATGCGGATGTACGACGATCCGTGTAACTGCGTGTGACTCCGATTCACGTATGACGCGTATGACGTAGCAGTGACGTAGCAGTCACGCGCCAACATGGCGGACGAACCACTGCGCATTCGTTTCTGCGCATGCCCATTCCTGTGCTCAACGTTCGCGCAACTTTGATTTCTGAAAGCACATAATGATAAATATATAAAGATAGAATCAATTAATCATATTGGTCATATATGTAAACTTGCCCGAAGAAACAGAGAAAAAATTGAGAGATATTTTTAATTTCTTTTTCTTTTAGTAAAGGATGGAAATGTCTATTCATAGGCTTGTTCTTTTTTTCCTCTTTCGTGCAATTTCGATTCAATATATAACGTAAAAAATTCATAGTATATTATGCTAATGATATGAATTACGAATGATTCGATTGTTTTATCGCGCTTTTCCAAAGTCAAATCTTATAATATTTACTTTTGCATTTTAATAGATTGAGAGCGATTCATATACAGAGTTTGAAGAGATATCCATTGCACGACAAATTATACTTACGTTGATTAGTATTCATCAATACCGAACTGTTAATCGCGAATACGTACAACACTTTCACACATTTTTTTCGCAAAGAACGATATATGAAATGCAATATTTCGCGCATCGCGTTTCACTCATGCGGCCATTTTTCTTTGCTGTTTAGTATCGCCACCTGCATTCGCGTTAAACGCCAGAATTACGTAGTCTAGATACTTCGACTGCCGGTAAAGTCATCATTTTGTGCATGTCGGTAAATTGTTAAATTCACGTCGCGCAAGCATAATTTTTTTATTTGTAGTATAACAAAATATGTAATTAAAAATTCATGTAAGAAACGTATTTTTAATCAAATTACATATACTTATTCCGTTACTCTAATCTTGTACGTTAACAGATTTAGGTTACACACATTGCATAAAGCTTCCAGAAAAAAATATCCAGAGGCACAAATATTGTATAAACGAAAATCATGCGAAGATGAAACAATAGATTAAAGAAGCCGTATAATCATTGTACTTTTATGTATAAACGTTTCACAAAATAAAATCTTTATAAATGAAATGTTACATTAAAAATATTAGTATAAAATTAAATATCAATGTGAGATTTAAAATTTTTTGTCCTTTTTTTTCTTTAGAATTTTTTTATTTTTTTTTTCTAAAGATTCTTTAAGCAAGAACTGCTTCTTTCGCAAGACTATTGAACAATTTGAATATTTGATATTTTTCTAGTAGTTTAAATTTCGAGAAAAAATTCGAGAGAAAATTAGATTTTATCGTATTACTGCACATATCGATTAAATGCTATAGCAAATATGTAGTGTAAATATTTTAATTTTTTTGTATACGATCTACTTTTTATTCTATCGATGTTTTCATAGTGATGCACCTTGAGCACTTTGCTTCACGTTTGCAATAAAAATATATTAAAGCAAATTATTTTGCAAATTTATTATTCTAATTTTTATTTAGAAAGACTAAGATTAAAAAAGACGTATGCATTTTTTTCAGATATTCCTATTGAAAAAGACGCATCAGATAAAACTTTCCTGTACATTTTAAATGCGCCAAAAGATTTGCTCTTTATTCCACTTACTGCAATAATGTACACTAAAAGTGACAGATCTATATTAAAAATGATAGATCTATATTTAGTAGTTGGAAAGAAAGAGAGGAGAAATGAAAAGTGCATCTAGAGAATTTAAAATAAAAATCTAAAAATAATAATACATAAAATTAATATTATGTATTTTTTTCATGAGGAATGTGGGGCGCACATTTATGCATTTATTTATTTAGATGAGATTTACTTTAGAGCACATTCAGTATTCAACTTTTATTTTATTTTCTCTTTCTTACGATATATAAGTATAACATAATTACCTGCAATTAACCAATCAACCAATTATTCCACCGCTCTGTTTCATTACAGTTGCAATTTTCTTTTATAATATCACGAATATTATAAATAAGATAAAGATTTCAGTACGTTTCAAATAAATTTATATTTTATGTATGTAATACTGCGCACACATATTAAAAGGTGATAATATCGCAGTTATAATAAGATACAATCCTGGCAATGTAGCGATGTTTGGATTCTGAAAATAATTTAATTTGATTTATTTTTGAGAAATGCACACATTACTTGAGAGCAAATTATTTTTGTGCCATGTATTACCTGTGTAAAATTCCACACGCAGTATCATATTGTCTGCGATATATGAAAAGCTTCATCGATGAAATAAATGGTTGAATATGATTGAGATATAAGAAAAGTACTTGTAATGTAGTAATATAGTACTTGTAATGAATAACGTTAATGTGGAATACATAATATTTTATATTTTAATTTCAATGTAATCGAGATGTGATAAAACACTCATGATTACTTTAAAAATGTGTCCACAAATATCATGTAACTTCAATAGCTGCACATTCCTCAAATTAATCCTATTACGTTAAATGAATCACAGCAGCTTGTTTTAATTTAATCTAACCTAACCAATTATATTATATGCTACTCATTAAAATGTGTAAAACTGTACGTCGCACATTTAATACGATTAATATATTACGTACTAAAATGTAATACATTAAGGAAATAATTAAATATTATTTTTTAAAGCATGATACAATCCAGGCAGCATACGCTTGTGTTTACATTCGATATCCAAAGACAATGAGAGGTTAGGTTAGGTTAGATCAAACAAATTTATCGTTTAACTGTTGGCAACCCTACGAGATAGGGCTATGCAGCACTGCGCGCGCGTATACAAAATTCAAATCGCTTCTAGCATAATCATCTTCACGCGATCGACTTATTTGAATTGCACCGAATCGAATTATGATGCGGCGCCGATTTGTCCGAATGTAATTCGGGACATCGCGATGCTGTATAAGCGTCAGATGAGCACGAATTGTCACGCAAATATGATAAATCAAATCTACTCAACGGCTGTTCCTCCTCCTCGGAACAGTTCGCTCGCCTCGGGACGTCCCATTCCGATCTTGATGCACACAAATTCACACGATATCATCAACGCGAACGCGCGACACTTTATGCGGCACTCCCGATACTCGCTCGCATCCGATAATCATCATCAAGGGCGCGAATAACGCGACGCAACTTCGCTCCATCTTCGCGATGACGCCATCACTGAATATCGTCAAAAATCGCTGTCGCGCGTTTCCATCGACACACTATGAAAGTCGCGCGATCATCCTTGGACACTCTCGACGCTCGTTCATCGCGATATTCGTTTAAAAACGGTTAAAAGATGCGAAAAATGCGGACGTACGACGATCCGTGTAACTGCGTATAACTCCGATTCACGCGCCAACATGGCGGCCGTATGACGCGTTTGACGTAGCAGTGACGTTGCAGTGACGAAACGGTCACGCGCCAACATGGCGGCCGAATCAGTGCGCATTCGTTTCTGCGCATGGCCATTCCAGCGCGCAACTTTGATTTCTGAATATTGTCTACGGCTTTAATTAATAGCACATAATGATAAATATATAAAGATGGAATCAATTAATCATATTGGTCATATATGTAGACTTGCCCGAAGAAACAGAAATAAAATTAAGAGATATTATTAATTTCTTTTTTTTTAGTAAAGGATGGAAATGTCTATTCATAGGCTTGTACTTTTTTTCCTCTTTCGCGCAATTTCGATTCAATATATAACGTAGAAAATTTATAGTATATTATGGTAATGATATGAATTACGAACGATTCGATTGTTTTACTGCTGCCGCTTGCCACCCGTTGCCCGCTGCCCGCTGCTGCTGATGTCGGCTGAGAGACCCACATTCTGAAAAGAAAAAAAAATAAGAAAAAGAAGGGAACAAATTAGAATAAAAAGAGAAACAAATTAAAATAAAGAATAAAGTTTAAATAAAAGGCTCCTTAAACATAAAAGTAGGGAAATAGAAAAATTAGAGACAAAAGACAGAGATGAGCGAAAGCTCGAAACTGTAAAAGGAAAGAGAATTTATTATTTATATACACTATTTTTAAAATAGATATATTGCTTATTATTTTATTATTGTTTTATTTTTCGATCATTTAAATATATAATTCGGATTGAAATGCAGTAAAACAATCGAATCGTAGATCTAAATAATTAACTTAACGAAAAGATCCATAAAAGATATATTAGTTCTTTTAATAAATAATATCGTATACTTAGTCTATATAAAAATGGATTTATCTATTTATTTATTTCTAAAATCTATTTATTTCTAAATATTAAATACTATAAATTTAATAGTTATATATTTTGTAAAATTTAATTATAAAAGAATCTTGAAGATATTCCAAAAGAAACGAAGAACTTTTCTCAACGTAGAAAAAGTTAATTATAAACAAATTTATATTTAATCATTATAATTAATTTGTATTTAATTTTATTGGAATTTTATTATTAATTTTATTGCATTGTCAAACTCTACGCGATCTCTGTAATGATAGCTATTCAGGAATTAGGTACAGTAAAATAATCAATTATTATCGCTGAAAAGAGGCAATAATATACTTTTAAATCTAATTTAAACTTTTGATAAACGATATAAAATTTTTTTATTATAATGAGAAATCTTTATTAAAGATCATAATTGCAAATAAAAATGGAAATAACTTCACGAAGTTTATTAATCGTTTAATAAATAATTAATCCGTGTGTACGTGTACGTGTATGTGTGCGTGTGCGTGTGCGTGTGCGTGTGTGCGTGTGTGTGTGTGTGTGTGGGTGTGAGTGTGTGTGTGTGGGTGTGAGTGTGTGTGTGCGTGACTTTAAAGATATACTTGTATATAAATACAATTGTATATAACTAAAAATATATATTTCCGTTATGTTAATTATCCGATTTTTATTCGATCGTTTTATTGCGCGTTCTGAATCAAATTATATTTAGATCAAATAATATCAGAGAGAATATTTATTTATTATATTAGAATTCTAAATGTGTATGTGTGTGTGTGTGTACACATATATATTAGAATAGAAACGAAATAGAAATAGAAGAATAATCATTGCTCATAAAGATTGCAACAAAGTAATAATTTATAATTTTGATTCCTGTATCGTATAATCGAGTATCGTATTTCGAGAGCAATCAACTTTATTTATTAATATTAAAATTGTATATAACTTACGAATATATTCCACTTATTTCGGACGTTAATATCGCGACAACGAGGAATAAACTTTTCAAAAAAGTTCAATTCAACTATTTCATATATGAGACAGTTCTACCAATCACTGATACAAAAAACTCGTCAATTGACCAGTTGGTGAAACTGTTTCAGTCCTGAGTATTTTCTTAAAAGAGCTGTTGGCGCACATACATACGTGTATTATGTTTACGCGCGTCACGCGTTCGAACGAACCTTTACATTCTCGCGGGAAGACTCGAGCTCCATCTTTATTGTCCGTATACACCACACACAGACCCCATCACACACACACATGTGGAATTATCATTAACTAAAAGCCCATTTGCTTTAGACTTACGTAAAGTGTTATAAATATAAGTATGTTATAAAAATTAAATATATTAAATTATAAAGAATTGTATATTTGCAATAAGTTTCTACACTGCCAAACATGAGTAACTCTGCAAATTTTAAGAAACACAATACTCACTATCAACCAGGTTAGTTCTATTAATCTTATTGCAATTTATATAAAGATAACGTGTAAACTAACAAGTATTAATAGTTGTACGTGTAAACTAACAAGTAGTTGTACGTGTAAACTAACAAGTATAAGTAGTATTAATAATTGATAATAATGAGAATAAAAGCATATTATTAGCATTAATTAAACTTTTTTGATTATGTGTATAATGTGTATAATAATTTGATTATGTGTGTGGATGCAGAAAGAGAAAGAAAGTTGTAATATTTCAATTAATAATTATTATAATTATATTTCTCTCCTTTTCAAGATGTTCACATAATGGGTTGCGTCGAACGAACACAGGGAGATGGCATGGAAAATGTGACAGCAGACAAGATTGAGAGTAAGCAAAGCCGAAGTCGTCTAGGGGACACTCTCATTTATCATCCTACAAATCTGAAACAATTAAGATCAACACCTCCAGTCACTCCTACCGGTACAATAGTAAATTTAGTGCCAAAGAATATTGATAATATAAAACAAGAGAAGCGTATTTTGCATTCTTTAAAGTCAAAAGAACCAAAGTTTGTACCATATGAGCCTTACAAGGCAGCTGTTAATCCAATAGTACCATTTGAAAAAAAGAAGAAATTATCTAAGAATGAATCTCGCATGAACGCTACTATTACACAGATTGCTACAATGAAAATCCAAAATAATGATATGAGATTAAAAGATTGTGCAAAGGAAAATAAGGAGAAAATATTGGAAAATGAGTGGGACAGTGAGAAACAAATGTATGAAGCTGAAATTCGCAAACTGAAGGAAGAAAATAGTCAACTTGAAACTCAATTGAAATTTCAAGCACAGGTACAAAATGATTATCCATTTTACAACAAAAACTTTCATATATTTAATATTTATAATTTATATAAAAATGTATATTCTTATATGCATAGGTCAATGGTGAATTAAAGAACTTGTTGGTTGCTGCGGTAGGGGAGGATCTGGAAACAAGAGTTCATCTTTTAACCGAGGACAAATTGCAACTTGCCAGAGCCTTACTGAGTTCAGCACAACATTTATCTACGCATCAAGAACAAACAGAATGGTTGGCAGGCCAGTGTGAAGTTTGGAGAAGTAAATTTCTAGCTAGTAGGTAATTGACAGTTATTTTCAAGATTACATGGAATTTCTTCTTAATACTTATTACATGGTATTGTTGCAGTTTTTATTTTGATTTCTCTTGTAAAATTTTTATAATAAATTGTTCATTTAAGTTTTAATGAAACACCAATATGTCACTCAAAACAAAGTTTATTACAGCTTAATGGTGGAAGATTTGGCAAGATGGAAGGCAGCACTTTGTCAAAGAGCAACAGAACTGCAGGAAACTATAAAACGATTGTTAGAAGAACATAATATTATTCGTGATACCTCCCTTAAAACATACAAGTAGATTATACGTGCTTATTATTTCTAATTATCTATATTATATTTGTATAATCAAATTAATGAACAAATTTTTTGTTTTTTAGAATGCTTACAATTCTACGAGAGAAATTTGATCCTATAGGGACATCTAGCAAGAAACATGAATTAGCGAGTACTAATATCATAGATCTGGCACAAGGATGTTGTCAACTCACAGAAATTCTAAAAGTCAGTCTTCTCAGCGGTATTCCAGATTCAGAATTACGGAAGGAAATTAATATAATTGGTTTAGATATGAAAACACTTGCAGAAAATAACGCGGAAAAGGTAGAGTTGACTATTCAATCTTTTGAGAAGATATACCATTTTGATCGAATAATATTTAATATTTAAATGTTGCAGTTGCTAATGAATCAAAAATTACCCATGACTGGGAGAGAAGATATTGCCTGTTCCGCGGTGATGGGAGCGGCGGTTGCAGTTGGCGGGCAAATGTTTCTTCCACAATGTGACACCAATAACATGACATGTTGTCCGCATTGCAGTGGCGAGATTAAACAGATTTAAAAATGATTCCACTTTTATATCTTCCATCTGACATTTTTTACACTAGATATATAGAATATTTGCTGATTCTTTTGTTTATAAGTTATGATTCTTTTATTTATAATTATTTTTTTAAAATATATAAATACAAAATTATACTAATACTTGATCTGATTATGTTTAATCTTTATATAAGCTAAGGTCAAAATTTATAATTCTTTAGTTAATTTTTATACAATATATGTATTTATATATTTCCTACATGTATAAAATTTTTCTCTTATTTCAAATAATAAAGTATTTATTTTATCTTATGATTATTTATTTTCTTATGGTGATACCACCAATGAGATAATGTTAATAATTAGTAGATAGTTTATCATGTTAGGATGTTATACATCAGCTAAATCAGCATTTTTGAGTTATCATTGATAACAGACTTATGCAAACTTACTTGATGGGTGCATAATTGTAAATCTTCAGCAATATTGACAATTATAGTGTGTAGAAATTGAAGTAAAAATTGCTTTAATTGACAATATATGTATCAAATATACATAATGAAAAATTCGAGACCTAAAATCTAAAGTGAATCTAAACACAGTCTTTTTTGCCTGCTTTTAAATTATTATTTGTTTAGGTGTTTTTTCTGCATATATTTAAACTATAGTTTACAAATCTTTATATTTTAAAAATTGTTTAGAATTCTAAAAATTTCTTATTATTTAATTTTTTTATGACATTTTCCTATTATATTTTGGCATTAATTTGGGGATATTATGTGTAGATGTAGGTATATGTATATAAGGTATTTTTTTTATTTTAATCAATACATAACATCATACATACACATACACTACATATATATATATATATATATATATATATATATATATATATATATGCGTATATTTGTAATTATATAAAAATTACTGTAATATATAAATGTGACTTTCTTCATATAAAAATTCTCTTATACAAACAATATAAAGATTTATGCATATGGAATGTGTATATAATAAAGTTTTGTATCTTTTATACACTCTAATGATTATTTTTTATGATTATGTATATAACATATATGTATATATATGAAAATATATTTCAGTTTGTAAATAGGAGCTTTAATTTTTTGACGACATATTACTGGTTTCAATTAGGTCCTGGAAATCATTTCTCTTTTATCATTATGTTCTATGTACATATTACTTAAAAACAACATTTCTATACATTTATAAATACAATATTAAATAAAATAAACATTACCTTCAATTTAAGAATATCTTGTTTCCATTCTCCAGAACCAATAATTTTTACTGTTTCTAGTAATACATTTGTTATCTTATCAACATTTTGCTTGAATACAACTAGGACATCAGCTGCATGAACATTATCCTCACAATCTCTCCAACAATCATAATCAGTTGCCATTGCTATAACTGCGTACAAAAGACCTGCTTCTTTTGCCAAATATACCTGATTTGTAAAAAAATATAAATGTTATATAATATATAATTATATTCTCTAAGTATGCATAATTATATTTATTGTAATATATAGACCTCTGGACATGTAGTCATGCTAACTAAATGTCCACCCCAGAGACGTAAAGCATTACTTTCTGCTTTAGAGGAAAAGCGTGGTCCTTCAATGGTTACTATTGTTCCACCCTTTCTTATATTATATCCTAATTTTTTTGCTGCTTGTATTAAGATTTCTGACGTTCGTGGATCAAATGCAGGCTCCATTGGTATATGACATACCCCTATAATAAATTTATAATTTTTATTTAGAAGGAATATATTTTAATTATATAATAAATTTATAATTTTTATTTAGAAGCAATATATTTTAATTATATATGTAAAACATGTACAAAATATATTTACCATTATATTTAACAGATGTTCCATCATAGAGTGTTACTTTCCTGGCAAAAGTTCTGTCTATAAAGCTATCAGGCACAACTAATTGTCCTCTACTGATGGATTCTGTCAATGATCCACATGCAGAAGATGCCAATACATGGGTACATTCAGCAAGTCGCAATGCTTCTATATTAGCACGGTAATTAACTCCAGTAGGATTTATCTTATGTCCTTCGCCATGTCTTTATCAAAAGAAGGATGTTAATTAATATAAACATAAATTATAATAAATGAATAATAAAATAAAAATTATTTAATATAATAAATAAATATTAAAGTTATAATAATAAAATAATAAATAAATAATGAAATTATGATCAAAAAGCTAATATAAATTAAAACATATCTCAATGCATAACTCTAGATAACGATGGAATTTTCTTGGAATATATGTACAAATCATGAATGGAAAAACTTATTAGGAATTTCACCTGGATAATAATACTATATTTATTCCATCAATAGATCCACAGTAAAGATCACTAGAAGGATATCCAAAGTCATTTTTTGCATTCGCACGACGTACAATGTTGTTACATTTGAATGTTTTGTGCAGACAGTCACCCAGACCTGAACCGCTTATAATTCCTACCTAAGATTTAAAAATATATTTATAACATCAATAGCAACAATTTTATATCATTTTATACACAAAAAGAATATTTGGAATATATTGAACCCATGACATAATGTATGTTGAGGTATTTTTTTAGATACACATGTATTTTTTGGAAATAGTTCTTTCCAATTATATATATCTTATACATCTATTTTTAAGCCAACTGCTTTAAAGACTAAATTTTTTATTTATAAACTTTGATTATTTTAAAGCTATAAATTATATCCTCATATATTGTATGTATATATCTATTATTCTTATCCTCCAAAATTAAGATTTTTATTTATTTAATTGATATTGAAGGTCATTAGGACATGGAAAGTTTTAGAAATAAAGATTCTCACCTTAACTTGGTTTGCCATATTAAGATATTATTTTGAATCTGCAATATAAAATGTTCAAATCACCGTATACTGCCGTTGAGGAATGATCATGTATCGTATTATCTCTAATATTTATATAATTCTATTTCAGTTATAAATAGACACCCGGCTGATTAAATTGGATTAGATATGATAAGAAAGGTAAGCATAGATTATATAAGTATGATAGAAGGGAGATATACTTCATGTTTTCTGCATAGAAAGCGAATTTTGGCTGCGGTCAAGGAGACGCTGAGAATGTTTTGAAGCGTTTGATTGACCAATCAGGTTAAAGAAATCTTTACCCTGATTGGTCGGGAGCGTCCAGTTTGATCACGTTGCGATTGACCACAGCTAATTATATCGACTTGTGCCTAGGGTAACTAGCAACGATTAACCAATCAGAGAGTCCTATTTTGAATTGGTCAATTGGCGTCGTGGTCAATCGGATGCCACCCGGACTGAGCGAGGACAAGATCTGTGGAGGTAAAGTCACTAGATTAACAAAGTACCGCAATTTTGATCTCAATAAGATAAATTCTTTTTATTGAATACAATATATATAATGACTAGTATATAAATAAGAAGTGGAAATTATGAATTATCAAATTATAAAAATACATACATTATTGTCGCTCTATGAACATCAAGATATAACAATGAACAATTTGCCCTTATGTTTTTCACATAAATGTAATAGATCTGCCCTTCTGATGATACACGAATGCATCGAGAATTTATATTACAGATTATTAACGCTAAGATATTTTCCGACAAGATAGCCCTGTACTGTTAAACTTCTGTTAGAAACAAGTTGTATTAAAATATTCCTCGTGGCTTATTGAAACACGTCCAGTTATGAAAATGTAATATTACTTTACGTATTATACTATTATTATTTCATCTATCCGCGTATCTATTATATCATTTCTTTTTTTCCGAGAATCAAATGGAGCAAACGTTATTACAAGTAGGATAAAAAACTAGAAAAAAAAAGAAAAGAAAAACACGATATGAATATGGATCAACATGAATAACAAAAAAAAATATGCAAGCCATTCGTTGATGCAAAAATCGATACAATTATAATTACGTAAAAAAAACTTGCTCTAATGATTATACATAAAATTACATTCGCTTTTATTGTTTTTACAATAAAAGCGAATGTAATTTTATGTATAATCATTAGAGCAAGTTTTTTTTACGTAATTATAATTGTATCGATTTTTGCATCAACGAATGGCTTGCATATTTTTTTTTGTTATTCATGTTGATCCATATTCATATCGTGTTTTTCTTTTCTTTTTTTTTCTAGTTTCTCTATCAAGCATTCCTGAAGCGTCAATATCGTTCACAGCAAACCGTATATTAGCTTACGGTACTGTCAATCTCACCGATTCGCACGCACACAAATGTAAGCGTGAACACACGAGAGGGATCTCCGCGTGTTTACGCGCATACACGGAAAGACAATAGCCTTGTGTTGTAAGATACGCGTTTATATCGGGACCATTCACAGATGCTTAACTACGACTGTGTACACGCATATATATTACAGCACCTTCATGAATCATTAACGTCGAAATCTAGACGAGAGATTCTCTCGAGGCGAGCAAGCCGCCGTGACGTAATTTCCTGAAGGCTCGAAGAATCTAGGACGTGGCTGCGCGGAGAGCCTCTCCCCTGGATTTATATTGTATTCGCGTAATAAATTACTCAACTATTTTATTGCCGTCTTTGGACGAGTTTGCAGCATCTTGTAACATCAGTCTGATAAAAAGGACTCGTTTTCTCTCTGTTTACACACTCAACAAAATCTCATATATATTATTATGTACACACAAAGTTGAATATACCTATACTTGAAAATTATATATATATATTTTTGATATAAAATTACTTTGATATTAAATTATCGAAATTATCGAAAGTTACTTTAACCAATTTCGTGGAGATTATTGAATTCTTATTCAATTTATTTACAAGAGATGTAGGTTTATTTAAATTTGTTAATAAACATGAGATAGATATATATGTATATACTATTCCTTTTAAAAATTAACATGCTTCTCCTCCTACTCACAAATAATACCTATCACTGATCAAAAAATCCTACTAGACTTGCAACTTTGCATAAATCAAACATGATTTGATAAAAAGTTACAGCATTAGTGCTATAAAAACACGATAATGTAAAAAACATACCGAGACACAGAATATTGTAATAATTTTTAATTCTCAATTTAACTTCTGTTCGCACGATTACCCCATCCGCGACGATGCATGTCTTTATATTCATCCATTGCGCGCGCTTGTTCGAGATGTTCGGGGTCATCTTTCTCTTCCATCTCTTCCTTCAAGATAATTTCGTTATCCTCGTCGTTGGAGCTTGTATCTTTATTCACCATATCTTGCAGACATCGAGAATTTGTTCCATGCTTTGATGGATCGGGCCAACTAGAATGATATCAGAAAAGTATCATGCATATTAATTAACTTTTTTCTAATTTGTACTAAAAAAATGTTTATTATATATAATATTTGCTTACTCTCCATCTTTGACCCTTTTTTCATAAAACTCTTCGACTGTCAAGACTGGTAAACTTGGATAACCTGCTCCAAAAACTTTCTTCTGTACCTCATCACGCGTAATGATAATGGGTTGTAATTTTTGAACTGGAAATTTTTGCTTTTCAGTCGTATGCGATTTGGAAACCATAGTATGCGTTGGCCCCACTTCCGTCATCATGTTTCCCAAAATTACTTTTTCTGTTTCTAGAAAATGCAACTCTTCTACTATTTGAACTGCGTACAATTTTAGAAGAGTAACAAAGTATTCTCTTTTTGTTTCATCATCTACGTTTGGATTGTCTAAATTTTTCTTTAAAGTATCCAAGCGAGACTCCAAATCTTTCTCTTGTTTATATCTTTGTAACTTTGTATTTCTACGAGTTACCTAAAACAAATAGAATTATATTATTATTATAATAATTATATATAATTATCTGCAATATGATTTGAATAAAAAACTAACCATATCCTCCAACATCCTGGATTCACTCTTCAATTTATTTTGATTATCCCCTGCTTCCTTTTTTTCATCACTAATCTTTGGTATTTCGACATCTGTCAAACCGTATGTTTTCGATCGCTTCAAAAAGTCCACAAAATAGATTTCTGCTACTTTAACAAGATGCATTCTGTCATTGCTGTTGCATATTTTGGTGGTGAGCTTGCCCAATAGAGCTGGTAGTAAGAAATATTTGATATTTTCTGTAGCTACCTCCTCGAAAGTTTCATTGTCGCTGAACATATCCACTAAAGATATTAGTTTTGTTGCATCTTCAAACATACGCATTGTCTGCCTTATATCTGACTATAATAACCAGCAAGAAAAAAGAAATAACAAATTATTATAGTTTTCATTATTAGTATATAAACTTCACATAGTTTTTAACTTAATTGAAAGATATATATTGTCACAATTTTTGGTCTCATTATTTCAAAAAATTTAAAATCAAAATAAACACCTGTATCTTTGGGCTATTTGTCGGCTCCTGTGTATTATTAATACTGTTGTACAATTCGAAAGCATTGTCAAATAATTGTGACAGAGAAACATCTGAAATCGGCCCCGTCGCTTTAACGGACATGTTCTGATATGCCGCCTGAGAAAGTGGAGGACCAAAGAGAAGCCTGAGAAGTTGGGATCGTCGACTTGTAGAATAAACTGAACATCGCGATAGGTGAGCGTCGACTATAGAGAGAGGTACTACATAAGAAGGGGAGCGTCCCGTTTGACCACGTTGCGATTGACCACAGCCAATTATATCGACCTGTGCCTAGGGTAACCAGCAACGATTAACCAATCAGGGAGTCCTATTTTGAATTGGCCAATTGGCGACGTGGTCAATCGGGTGCCACTCGATTGGTCAAACGTTTCTCAGCGTCTTCTTGACCGCAGCCTTTATCATCATGAATTTTATACATCTATGGTCTACAAGTAAAATAGAGAATTTATTCTTCGATATTGGTAACTCATAAGGTAAACCTTCGCACTTTCATTGCTAAAGAATCGATTTAAAATTGACCTGGATTGGATTCTGTAAAAAGATCTTGAATTTTATTATTTTGCAGACCTTGGTAGAAAAAAATTAACTCGCAAAAATGACTATGGCAATGTTGCAACGTCGTGCTAATGTAAGTATATAACATCTGCATGATACGATAAATTATCTTGAGCAAAAGCTAACCTTAATCTAACCAAATCTAACTTATGTATGCGTATCATTATGTATACAGTTATGTATATATTAGTTATTATAAATGTGAAATTTTTTTGTTCAAGGTACGTTTACCACCCGAAGTGAACAGAGTATTGTATATCAGAAACCTACCATACAAGATTACAGCTGAAGAAATGTACGACATATTTGGAAAGTATGGAGCTATCAGACAAATTAGGGTGTAAGTATTGCATCATGCGCAATATATTTAAAAGGGTAACTCTCTCTGTGATTGAAATTTATTCAAATTATATCTTTCTCTTCTATTTCAGAGGTAACACCGCTGAAACAAGAGGCACAGCGTTTGTCGTATACGAAGATATATTTGATGCAAAGAATGCATGTGACCACTTAAGTGGCTTTAACGTATGTAATCGTTATTTAGTAGTTTTATATTATCAGAGTAACAAGGCATTTAAACGAATTGATGTTGATAAGAAGATGGAAGATCTAGATAAATTGAAAACAAAGTATAATCTAAATGATGAGAAAAAATAATGAAATATAGATATACGATTGTAAGGTATGTTCTTTTGTATAAAAGATTTGTATATGTAATTCACACTTATTAGAATAGGCGAATATGGTGAATTTTACATTATATTTTATATGCAATATATCAATTGAATAGATGAATGAATGTATAGTATAAATATGTGTGTGTGTTAACTAAGAATAATACAAATAAAATATAAATAAACTTTGTTATATAATACAAATTTATATAGAATTTTCTAATAGGTTTGAAAGATGATTTTTATATGTTTCTTCTGAATTTTTAAATTTGTTTACATATATAAATTTACATATTTTTATTTATTCTTCTGTATGTGTTTACTTCTAATTATCTATTTATTATTACAGAGCGATAGATACACTAGATACACGTGGCTTTTGTTGACATGCTCATATATAACTTGTCATTGATAACTGATATCTGTGTAATTTAATCGTCTGTCTCGTCTCTCGATATTTACATTTTGTAAGCCGAGTCCGATTCATTTACATATTAATCATGCTTTTTTTTAGAATGTTCTCATTTAGGATCAGCAACTAACTGAAAAACAAAATTATTTTTCGTATCGCCAATTAAAATAATGTTTAATTCAATCGAAGGAGCAAAAAAATATATTCTTCCAGACAATAATAATTATTTTGCTTCTCATAAAATTAAAAGAATATCGACATTACAATTGCGACGTCAAATAGGTCACAAAATAAAAGACTCGTTTATTTATAATCTGCACCAGTAAATGTACGTACAGCTTCATATGCGAACATACTAATATATCACGAAAAATTGACGATTCTTATCAATGACACTAATCGCGAGCGTAATCGCAGTGCTACGAGGTCGAATGTACACACGCGTGCGCGTCGCGACGCACCCATCGCGCTCACGCGCGGGCGGCTGCACGATCCGACCATTCGATTTCAGTCGAAAGTGAAAACTCGCTTGACGTTCACTGCGCTGCGCCTTGTCGTCTGCTCGCGGTTACGCTCACACTCGTTTGCAGGCAAAAACTTGCGGGGAGGCTGTATCCTTCGACGGTGCATTGATCTCGCACATCATCGGATTCTTCGCATCACCCGGTGTCGATGGCACTCGGATCCTTACGAATTTGCAGGGCGATCCGGCCTCGCGTCGCGTTATATCTTAATGACAGATAGTGACGCGTGGCGTCACATGTCGTACGATTGCTGCGGCGACGGCCGCACCATCGGCGACTCGTTCAATGCCGGTTTGCGTAACGCGCTGCGTTTCACACACGAGCACCTGGATAATGTCTTTGCCGATTCGAGATCCCGCTCGTGGCTGCTCCTCTCTGTCATCGCCGTCATTAGCCTGCTGCTGACTCGTTGGTTCACCCATCGTAGGATGCTATTACATCGTGATGCCGAAAGTTACTAGATCATAGAGGCCGACCCGGTATCGTCGAGCGATAATGATGTTTACCATATGACGTACGTCAAAAGAAAAAGAATTGTCAGCCAGCTGTTAGCGGATAGAGCACCCGAGACGCAGGAGGTGTGAATTGTAATCTTCCGTCAAGGCCTTTTATCACTCGGGACGATACAAGTGCAGCTCCAGATTTTTGCGGGACGCAAAAATGCGGCATGTTCAAGGACATTATCGGCGCATTAATCGGAAACGGATTCACGTTTCGTTTTATAAAATTACCAGAGCGTATCGCGACAAAGCACGTTCGACGATGCGCGACAATCGTCGTTTTTGCAGTGGCGCGAATAATTATTTTTTTCTCATAAATAAACGCCTATGAAAGTCGTGCAATTGTATATATTTTATATCGATCTACGTGATACTTATCGTTGATTGGAGTTAAAAGGTTTTACAAACTCTCTTATGTATAGTTTATAAATTATTCTTGGGGTTAAAAGGTTTTACAAACTCTCTTATGTATAGTTTATAAATTATTCTTGATTATGATTTTTTATTCGTTTGAACATTTTTGTGAGGGGGATGGCGAGTTTCTTGGAACGAAACAAAATCAAATCCACGCGCTTATATTATGGCCTAAATTATTTACGCAGGCACGCTCGTAAAAGGATCTCTCCCGATATTCTGCCGACATCTAAGAGTCATTTGTTTAATTCTCCTGAAAATAAACATTTCTATTCGATCATCTATCGAAATCTTTTTTAATAGTCGCAGAGTATGTACACACGAGCGTAACGATTTATTTCACTCGTGCAAGTATCCTGCGCAGGCTTAGCGCGTTGCTTAGAAACGCGTGTGCAAGCATGGCATCTCCTTTCGGCTAAATATCCGAACGGCAACGATTCGAACGTCTGCCGCCAATCCGTCCCGTAGGAGCGCAAAATGGTGGCGACGTGAGCAGTGCGCGGTGGACGCATGCGCACAAGTAACCGCGCCAATTCGGTCACGTGATCGCGCTAGCTATATTCAGTTCGAACTGTGCGTCCGACTGGGTGTCGAAACATCGAGTGCGCGAAATAGTAATTATTTACATCGTCTTCGTTATTGTCCAGGATTCGTAATGAGGGAAAAGGCGATGCGGGAAAGTACGACGATTTCCGACGACTCTCTGCCGATTTATATCGAGGTAAGCGCATGCTTTTGGCGAGGTATCCGATGCATTGTCGCGTTCTCCGTGCAAGAATTTGAGACGAGAAAACGACGTTATATGTAGGATCGATTTTGCTCGATATTTGTCAAAGATTATTTAATCCTTTCGGAAATAATAATTTCTGTTTAACGTCTATTATCAAGCATTTTGTAATCGTCGTAGAACACACACACACACATGCGCGCGCGCCAACCACACACACACACACACACACACACACATATGTATGTATATATGTATGTATATATACACATTGTAATAATTTATTTCATTCATGTAAGACTTGGCGCTTAGAAATACTCGTGCAAATGACATATATTCTTTTTTTGATTAAATGGCAAACATAGCCTTCTACTCGTTTCGCAGGAGCGCAAGATGGCGAGTGGGTAGTACTGACTGTTGCCGGCGCATGCGCAGCAGTAACCGCGCCAATTCGGTCACGTGATCGTGCTAGCTATATTCAGTTCGAACTGTGCGTCCGACTGGGTACCGAAACATCGAGTGCGCGAAATAGTAATTATTTACATCGTCTTCGTTATCGTCCAGGATTCGTAATGAGGGAAAAGGTGATGCGGGAAAGTACGACGATTTCCGACGACTCTCTGCCGATTTATATCGAGGTAAGCGCATGCTTTTGGCGAGGTATCTGATGCATTGTCGCGTTCTCCGTGCAAGAATTTGAGACGAGAAAACGACGTTATATGTAGGATCGATTTTGCTCGATATTTGTCAAAGATTATTTAATCCTTTCGGAAATAATAATTTCTGTTTAACGTCTATTATCAAGCATTTTGTAATCGTCGTAGAACACACACACACACACACACACACACACACACGCGCGAGCGCGCACACAACCACACACACACACACACACACACACACACACACACACACACACACACACACACACACACACACACACACACACACACACACACACACACACACACACATGTATGTATATATATATACATATATGTATATATATATATATATATACATTGTAATAATTTATTTCATTCATGTAAGACTTGGCGCTTGGAAATACTCGTGCAAATAACATATATTCTTTTTTTGATTAAACGGCAAATGTAGCCTTCTACTCGTTTCGCAGGAGCGCAAGATGGCGAGTGGGTAGTGCCGACTGTTGCCGGCGCATGCGCAGCAGTAACCGCGCCAGTCACGTGACCGCAACAATTCAGTCTGGACGCGCACGGTTGTGGTTGACGCTGAAATATGTGCGACAAGTAGTGATTTTTCACATCATCATCGTCTTCGTCGTCGACAACGACATCGCAGATACGTCCAACATACGTCCTAGGACAGGATGTTCAGGATATGCAGATATACATCCGGAATAATGAAGGGAGACCCGATGCGGAACGATCGCCTGCTTCACATTGAGGTAAGTACATGTTTTGTAAGTACATGTCTTTTACTATCGCTACTGTTACAACGCAATTGAATTTTTGAATAATTATTTAATATTATATATATTTAATATTTATTGATAATTATTATCTCTTTGTATTCTTTGCTATCAATTTGTATAAGTCTTAATACGACGATCATTGTTGCACTGAAATTACCTGTCGATTCGTATCGAGAGAGAGTGCGCGCTTTTATTCATATAATCATTGTTCTCATTGTTTTATTTTATACAAAAATTTAAGATAAAAAAAGGAATTAAATAGAAACTTTTATAAATAAATATTTTCTCATTTTTATATTTTAACTTTATCAATTTATATATAAATAAATAAATTCTAATACTAATAAATTGTTATAAATATATTGAAATTATTTACAATAGAAGTAATATTTTATCACATACTGTCTTTTTATATTTTTGCTTTATCAATTTATATATAAATAAATAAATTCTAATACTAATAAATTGCTGTAAATATATTGTAATTATTTATAATAGAATTAATATTTTATTACATATTGTCTAAGCTCTCTCTCTCTCTCTTTACTTTAGATATTTATTCAATAACATTTTTATTTCAATGAGAAATTTAATTCTACATTTCTCTTTACACATATATATCCTGTATAACATGCATATTTAAAAAGTGTCTAGAAGATATCTTGATATCTTTGGAATGTCTTGAGGATGTTTTGAGGATCTTTGAATATACATATATGTAGGATCATTTATAAATTTATAAAAATAAATATGATTAAGTAATTTTTTCTATAACGTATTTAACACTTTGAATGTAATGTGCGTGTTCTGAAAAAATATAATTAAATTTCTTATTATCAGATCGATTTTATCACATTTTTTTTAAAGTTAATACAGATTTCTTAAAGATTTCTGAAACTTTTTGTAATGGAAATAAGTGATATATAATGATTTGATGAAAAAACAGTTGGAACAGAAGGAAATATAATTTTTAAATATATAACTATTTATTTTAGTAATATATAATTTTTATTTAAGTAATGTTAAAATCTTAAAACGATAATGAGGCGCGTTGTTAAATTTAGCTTTAAGCTGCCTCTTTGATGATGTAATTAACTCAAAAGAAGAATAATGAATATGTATATAATTCGATGTACTATT